TTATTTAAGAGTTTCCTCTTGTCGTGATAACCGTTTCATGTATTATCTTTTAGCCAGCTCTATTCCAGGCCATATTTTTTACTTCCGTATACAACATGATACTTAGTGTTTCTTTTATCTGTCTCATATAATTATTTCTTGGTTTTCTCCTTTTTCTTTTGTTCTCTATTAGAATTTGATAAAATATGAATGTCTGCAAAAAGTAAACCTAATCAAATCAAGATAACCTGAAGGATCAAACATCTGAAGTAACAACCGACAACCGATGAAAAAAAAGTTGATGACATCGTACAAGCAGTGAAGGATATCTCCTTCCACTAAATGGAATGGCATCATTAAATGTATTGCAGTTATCAATAGACGCAGGAAGCAATACACTAAGGTAGTTTGCAAGCCACAGAGATTTAGAACAAAATCAAGTTATTTTGCTGTTCATAGGGATTAGTATCACAATATTTAACCATCTCTTTCCGATTACTACATTTTTTATTTAAATATATCGTAAACTGACCAAAGCTATCGGTATACAGGCGCACTGGCGAGGTACCAGTAAGCGATTATAGATGAGAAAAAAAGTGAGCTTGGCTCATCATGGTTTCACGGCGAAATTAAATAGTATATTGTGTCGTCCACAATATACTTAATGCGTTGCCATTCCTGAGGACTAAAGCTAAAGGATTTTTGCACAATGTGTACCATCTACAAATATTCTATTCCATCATAATCTCGAGTCTCGCAAAATCTGCACGGATCACTAGTGTTATTGGATTTCTGACTCAATCTATTCCTTTTCGGTGGCCGAAACTTTTTTATTATTATTTGCTGCACGGCCATACTTTGCATAACTTCTAGTTCGGCGTATCCTGTAATATTATTTATTTTTATGAATACAAACTTGGATTGAATCAAATACTTGTAATTGGTCCTGGCTTCGCATGATTTTTTAAATAAAATACATCCATATGTCTTGTTGATAATGTAGCTTTTTATAGATGAAAGAAATGTTTAAATCGGTTAAATATTATTTAAGTTTATGTATTACATATAAAATTCAGATTTTTTCTGTTTATAATATTATTTTAAGTAGAGGTTACAATAAACAATTATTTAATTTACAATTAATTTTGAAATTAATGAGAATATATTTCTGAGATTTCGCCAAAATTAAAACACGTATATTCATGGGAATTTTAAAAAATACTTCTCTATAGACGCGGTACTAAATCTAATGAATCATTGTACATAACTATGGAAGTTTCATTATTAGACAGCTAAGAGATTTTTATTTATATTTCCATATTAATTGCCTTGTATACTTGATATAGGATGGGCCACCTGTTCTTTTTTTTTTATACAACTTGGCAAACAAGTTGACCGTCCACCTGATGGAAAGTGGTAACCGTCGCCTATAGACATGAGCAGTACCATGGACATAACAGAGTATACTGTTTCGCCCATGATACCCCCATGCGTTGCCATTCCCGAGGACGCAGGTATTGTTCCTCTGTAAAGTATGAATTGCATTGCAGAATGTATTTTTTATTGTAAATGACACTATGTTTACATTCTAAAGTGATGTATCATGGGCGAAATAGTTCGTGCGGACTCAGGTGTTATTCCTCTGTACCCTATATATTCGCGCCATGTCCCACCCTTCAAACCGAAACACAGCCATGCAAACACAACTGCTTCACGGTTGAAACACGAATGGGACAGAGGTACCCAAGCAATCGACTTTTGTACAAAGTCTCCCTCTCTCCCTTTCTTTTCTAGTGAGTGTCGTAAGAGGCGATAAAGGGAACATAATCATCGAGCGAACAGTAGCAGTAACCCTTTTAAAACATTATCAAATCTCAATAGTGGTTGCCAATCCGTCTGCCAAGCGTGGCAACTACTAGTAAAACCTTCCTTATGCGGGAGTATAAGACTCCCCGATAAGGGTTTTACTAGTAGTTCAGCAATGGACAGTTAACAACTAGAGGGATTTATTTTTTTGACGGGTGAAAATGGAACGGTAACCCCACCTGCGCTAACGGGATACGCTGGCGGAGCATCAGTGAAGGGTGATAGATGAGAATGAAAACAGGCCAGTTAGCCCATCATGATGAATTCATCAGGAATTAACCATGATAGTTTCCAGGGGGAACCGTGGAGAGGTCGACCTGGCTGGGTATATTGCTAGCAATGGGATTCTTAGTCTCCATTATTAAGAATCCCTTTCCCCCCAGCTAATGGGATTGGGGAATAGTAATATTATTAATCATTCCGCACTGATACCACATTAGTTTCTATATTGCACAGAATAATGTAATGTAACACATGTAAATATTAACTTAATAGGCATGCAAACTGCAAAACGAACAGCCTGTAGAAACACTGGGCTTCGAGCAGCGATATAATAATTTGCCTGAACATGTCTCGTTTAGAGGTAAAACACAAGACTTGACTTGACCCACTGAAACTGCGCAGAGATGTTGCATCTCTGTGCATCTTTTACCGAATTTATAATTGGGAGTGTTCTGAGGAATTGTTCGGATTGATACCTGCTGCTGATTTTCACCACCGTACAACCCGCCACAAACTAAAGTTTCATCCCAATCATCTGGATGAGTGGCGGTCTTCCACCGTGCGTTTTTCAAGGCACTTTCTTCCACGCACAACCATTCTTTGGAATCAACTTCCAGCAGCAGTATTTCCGAACCGATACGACAACATAACCTTCAAGAAAAGAGTATATTCCTTTTTAAAAGGCCGGCAACACACCTGCAATGCCGCTGGTGTTGTGGGTGATCATGGGCGGCGGTAGTCACTTACCATCAGGTGAGCCGCATGCTCGTTTGCCCCCTGCGTTGTAAAAAAAAAAACAAAACGTGATGCAAAACGTGCGTTGACGAAATGACAGTCGAAGATTGATGGCTAATATGGCAGGTTGTGGAACCTCTGGTAGTAAAAGTGGTGGTCAGTCTTCGAGTGTTGGCAGTCGCACACATACTAATGGTGGCGGAATTAAACAAAATAATTCAAATTAAATAACCAGCGATATAGACTTCTGCAAGATAACACCTATTTCAGTTAAAAGTTGTAAGTTCAAGGTCAGGTAGTTTGGAACACTTAGAAATATAGATTACTCTGAAATGTATGTTCTTAATGATAAAAGGATTTATTAATAACGTGTTCCACTTCAACTTATGTGATCTTGTAAACTATTCACAACTTATCCTAAGTTCTGACACTCTGAACGTTAGTTAGGCGCAATTTGCTTCCTTCCTAATTCACTGTGTATCGATTGCTTATCTACTCTTACCTGTTACTTAGGATTGCTTTTACCAGAGGGAGACTTTGTACAAAAGTCGATTGCTTCTCTGTCGCATTCGTGTTTCTACCGTGAAGCAGTTGTGTTTGCATGGCTGTGTTTCGGTTTGGAGGGTGGAATGTGGCGTGAATTTACAGGATATTCTGATCTATACGATTCGTTACTACCTCACACAGATTGTAGATTGATGATGTTAATTGAGATTGAGATGTATGGTAACCCAATTAAAACTATTTTAGCAAGTTTGCGTGGCGCTCTAATGAAAAAGTAACGAACTTTTAGTTAGGAAAATATTTTATTTATTAATAGGCGACACTCGACTTTGTAAATTAAAATTACATTTTTTTTTTTTATAATTATAAAGATACTTGCTGAATAATATTTATCTTTATTTTTGGTTCTATTTGGTTGCTGGAATACAAAAGCTTCATGTTACTCAGAGAGCTGTGGTTACTACTACTCAGAGGGTTTTTTTTTGATTGGTGAAAATGGAATGGTAACACCGCCTGCGTTAACGGTATACGCTGGCGGAGCACCAGTGAAGGGTGATCGATGAGAATGAAAACAGGCCAGTTAGCCCATCATGATGAATTCATCAGGAATTAACCATGATAGTTTCCAGGGGGAACCGCGTGGAGGTCAACTTGGTTAGGTATATTGCTAGCAATGGAATTCTTAGTTTCCATTACTAACAATCAGTTTCCTCCCACTACTTAGAGAATTATGCTGTTTTTTGCGTAAATAGAATCTCAAATGAGGATATCTGCAAAAGAATTAAAGTAACCTACATGGCACGAAGGATAAGCAACCTGCAGTGACAGTAAGTTGGTCACATAGCTCGAAGAAAAAACAACTGGTGGAGAAGAAAGCTTCTTAAGTGACGATCCTGTACTGGTAAATGCAGTGTACAACGACCCCCACTACATGGAGTGATGACCTCAAACGCATTGCGGGGAATTAGTGGATGCAGATGGCTCAGGACCGTTCCTTATGGGACGTCTATCCGAGAGGCCTATGCTTAGTAGTGGAAAGTCAACGACTGATTATGATGTTCTTTTTTGATATAACTTTTAATAGCAAATAAATTGATTACTCACTTGAGGGAGAGTGAAAACCGTCATCTATAGACTATGAATAATAATTTGGATACTATATGATCCACTAAAATGCCAAGGTTACTTCCATAGTAACCCTGGACATTTTAGATGGATAGATAGATAGATAGGTAACCTTTATTACCAGTATTAAGAAAATTAAAATTAAAACAACAAAAAGAAAAAAAAAAACAATTATTGTTGCTGGTAATAGGAGCCGCCTTAGCTGTTGCTATATATTATATGTACAGCTCCAGCGAGATGTACTTATATAGCGCTGATTTTCAGGCGGCCCCTTAACTCCTTTTAGTGAATCATATAGTTACTACTGTCATATTTTGTACTTTATCTGTTATACTCTCATCCTCTTTAGTCATTGAACAAAAACTTTAAAAAAAAATCATGTTTTATTTAGAATTAATTGGCAACACCAATTGTTATTAGATTTATACTGAACAATTGATAAAATCTTGTTTTAAACTAAATATAAAAAAAAAATACTTTACATTTCGAAATATTGTAAACAGATTTTGTCCTAATTAAATACTTGCTAAATAATCCAAAATATTTTTATGGGAAATAAAAATCTAAAATTCAAAATTACTTAATGTTTTATTTAGAATTAACCAAAAACAGAAATTGACTTTTTTTGTTATAATTATAGAGGTTCTTGCTAAATAATACACAACATATTAAACAAAAATTGAAACTTAAAATTAATTCATGTTTTATTTTGTAATAACTGGCAACACTTATTCAAATTGGTTCTTTAATTAAAACAGTATTACTTGCTAATAACATACATTATCTTAAACAAACACTGAAATTATTTTTTTTATAAAACTATTTCTTTTTAACTTCTTGTTTTTTCTTCGTAGCGGACAAAGTTCGGTTGAGAGTCTCCCTAGCTATAGCTTCATCTCTTTCATTTAGAACTTTAGCTAGTTCTGGATTCCATTGTGAATCTGTATTGTAAAATTATATATTAATTGTATCAGCCATTAATTGGCTACTGCTGAACATAGCCTCCTCTATAAGCGGGTTTTTGCCAGTAGTTGCCACGCTTGGCAGGCGGATTGGCAACTGTAGTTTGGCTTTTGCTGATATTTTAAGAGGGACGCTGCTGTCTCTCCTTTCACATTAAACTCCTTTAATCGCCTGTTACGATACCCACGGGAAAGGAGGGGGTGGCCATTTCTATACCGGGATCTACACGGCTTATATGTTGTTGAAACACAATATTTATTTAAATGTTTGTTCTTTTTTCACACTTTTCCGGTCTTCAATCTAGGATACTGTAACTAGGCAATGAAGATCTGAGGACAAAACCGCCATATCTTCTAATATATAAAATTCTCGTGTCGCGGTGTTTGTTACTAAACTCCTCCGAAACGGCTTTACCGATTTTTAACCAGTGAAGGGTGATAGATGAGAATGAAAACAGGCCAGTTAGCCCATCATGATGAATTCATCAGGAATTAACCATGATAGTTTCCAAGGAGAACCGCGAGGAGGTCGACCTGGTTGGGTATATTGCTAGCAATAGGATTCTCAGTCTCCATTACTAACAATCCTTTTCCCGGCAGTTAATCAATTTGTTATGCGGTCCCGGAACAGAATTAGCCACTCGTTACTTTTCCGTGGATGTCATAAGAGTCAAATAATTTAATGGTCAAGCAATGGACAGCAGCGTGTTTTAAAATATCATCAAAGGCTAACCGCGGTTGCCAACCCACCTGTCAAGCATGGCAACTACTGGCAAAACCCCCCTTTATTAGAGAAGTCTATGATCAGCAGTGGGCATGTAATGGCCGGATATGATATGTTGATAATGAATCAATTTGTTCCATTATCTTGGACAAAGTTATGAGTAAAGTTTTCTTATATGACTTGAAGTGTTAGATAAGCTACTGGCCCACCTGTTAGAAACTGACAACCGTCGCTTACAGACATAAACAGCATTGTGTTATTTAAATATTGAAAATCTTACCAACAAAGAGTTTCTCTAGAAGTTGACATCTCTTCTTCTGTCGTCCAAGCACGTATAACTCGTTGTAGGTCTGCAGTTCCTTCATACGACCCAGCGCGGCTTCAATGCGGGCGTGGCGATCCTTCTTGGCTGTTTCCATAATATCAGGTGTCAAGACGACACTGGAATTTAATAAGCTTTTCTGTATATTTGCTCTCCCTGATACCATCAGGAGACTTTCGTCTAAATTAACTTTGATAAAACAGGTTTATGGCCAATTTTATATTTTATCCAAGCAGAAAATATTATCTACTGTTTTTGTTTTTGTGTATAATATATTACATCTTGTAAGGATATTTATTGTTTATATATATTTATCTGTGTATCTATGTAAATATACTAATATGCATGTCAATTTTCAAATGTATGGAATTTCTTTGGTTGTCTGTGAAGCAGTTGTGTTTGCATGGCTGTGTTTCGGTTTGAAGGGTGGGATATGGCGTGAATTTATAGGGTACAGAGAAAAATAATCTGAGTCCTCAGGAATGGCAACGCATGGGAGGTATTATGGGCGAAACAGTATACTCATTCGCCCATGACACCACTCATGCGTTGCCATTCCTGCACAGCCATGTAAACACAACTGCTTCACAGTTGAAACACCAATGACACATGCCCTGTATTAAAGAATAAGTAAATGAATATTTGGTCGTCGAATTTCATCTCGTTATACTATTTATAGGTAAGATCCATGAGAAACGCAGGATTTTTTATTAATAACTGCTATCTATCATTTATCATAATACTCGATGTGGCCACATTTCCCTGAACATATTTTGATCCAACGTGTTCGAAAACTATTTGATTTTCGTTGGAATAACTTACATTGGTGTTATGATCAGAACAATCAGTTTCAACTTACAAAATTGACATAAAAAAACTATTGTCGACTTAATAACAAAACACGAAAATCTATATTGCATTAACATTACATAAAAACATGTAAAGATAATTTTCACCTAGTAAAGTTCTTCTGTACACATTTTCTGTAAACCTCACCTGTTCTCTTCAACTTTCTCTTTAGTGCAAAACGGTAAGAAATATAGAGGTATGAATTTGTCCCTCAATTGCTCAGGCATCACTAAATACTTCGCTTCTTCTTCCGTTTCCACTGTCATTTCCAATACTGAGAAATGAAAATCTATTACAATTTAAGGATTAGTATCGCAGAAACCTAAATGGACTGAGCATAGAATGAGCCGCCCCTTCCTTTCCTGTGTGTGTTTCGTAAGAAGGGACTAAGGGAACTTAATGGTCGAGAGATGAGCAGCAGCGTCCCTCTTAAAGCATCTTCAAAGCCTAACTGCGGTTATTAACGTGCTTGCCAAGCGTAGCATTTACTGGCGAAATCCTCCAAAGGGAGGTTCGTTCAGCAGTGGACAGTTAACAGCCGATATGATGATGATGATGATTTGAGACAAAAACCAGAAGTATTAATCGTTATTAATATAAGTAAATAAATTCTATCGATTCTAAATAGAATTATCGAAAGTTCAAACTAGAAACTTCCTTTTTTAAACAGATAAATTTTTTTTAAACAACTTTGATAGCAAACAAGCATATGGCTCGTCTGATAGTGAAATAGGTTACTGTAGCCTATGGATGCCTGTAATACCAGGGGCATCACGCGCGCGTTGCAGACCCTTAAGAAACCTTAATATGCCCTTTTTACGAATCCCATACTGTAGTATCCAGGGGAAGCCTCGGCAGGATGGGGATGAGGATGGATTACCTGCCGACGGCGAGTAGTGCCATGGTGAAAAGTAACTAAACATGACTCACATATATAAGTTTATCCTTTTTTCAATTCACTGAAATTTTTGACAGCAAAGCATTATCTATAAAAAATGGCTGTAGGTAAAGATTAGCTATCCTAGACTACTAACTGAGAGCAGGCAACCCAAGTTTATTATATTTTAGCTTATCTTTCATTTAAACAAAGTTTCATTAAAAAATCTTATACCACCTGCAGTAATTAGTGGCTTGATCTTAGACTAATAATATTTTAGACCTTAGGTTAATAAAGGTTAAGGTTTATAGTCATTTTAAAGCGAAAATGTATTAAAACATGAATGATTTCATAATGGTAGGTAATAGCTACAATAATACCAGTTACCCAGCACGCACACGCACGCACGTACGCATGCTCACACGCACGCACGCACGCACGCTCGCACGCACGCACGCACGAACGCACGCACGCACGCACGCACGCACGCCCGCCCGCACGCACGCACGCACGCACGCCCGCCCGCACGCACGCACGCACGCACGTAAGTTAAACCAGTAGTTCTTACATTAAAATATAATGTGTACTTACGGAACTTGTTTGAAAGCCAACCTCTTGATATAAAAAGAATATGACTGAAAAACTTACATCCACTCTCAGTGGCAGGCGTAGGTCCTTGGTGATTCTGCTGCTGATATTCTAAAATTTTGGTAAAGGATGTATCAAGAAAAGTACTAAATATGTATGTAGATGATTACGAAAGGAAAGGAAGATCTAATAAGACATGGATGGATTATGTGAAAGGCAATACGGCCAGAATGGGAGTATATGCGAAATGACTGCGAATAGAGATGAATTAAAGAGGTAAAATTATTTCCAACACTAAATAAATAATTGGAATAAGGACAAGATGATGACAAGGTCTATGCTCATACAATTTCACATACATTCGATATCAGATTGGTGGGGCACATCTGGCAGTTTCGCTGCTAATGGGCACGTGCGAGGACCAGTTGGGTGAGTTGGACCGACATGCTTAATTGAACTTCAGGGGAGTTTATTGTGATTTTAAATCTCTGACCGCGTATTTTTTTTTCACAGCAATAAAACACATCGCTTTGACAACAAATAGCACTATTTAGCCATTTAGGGCGATTCTGAGAAACAATATCAAATTACCAAAATATAAATCGTGGGATAACAACGTCAATAAACATAAAAAAGCGAGCACGTCGAAATCGCGGGATGCGTAAAATTAAATGAGTAGATACTGCACGCGGAAATCGCGGGATGCCCGATCAGAGGGTTAAAATTAAAAATACGTTATATACTAAATCATGCGGGAAAGTTGCGAGGAACGAGGCTTAACATACTGCCTTATCTTCCAGCGGTTGGAAGTTCGATTCCTGTAGCCAATGAATTGATTGTCTATAAATATTAACAAACTTACTCTTTTCCTCTTCTTCATTATCACCATATTCTTCACCAACCATTTCCTGGAATGTTTTATTATTTTTACAAATTGGACAAATTAAATGATAATTTTTACTTATATCCAATGTGGACGACAAAGGAAACCGGGTATGGAAATTGGAAATATTATGTATATAGGTCAATGAAACTTAGAAGACTAGGGCCGTGAAGGTAAGCCAAAAGAAAACAAAAGAAATGTGTGAATTTCGAATTTGATAAATAATAATATAAAGCTGTAAATAATATATGTGGCTTGTATTCCACATTCATGAACAGCTCCATGGATATCATGGTATATGCTGCAATGCTATTGATCAGGTGTTGTATTTCTGATAACAAGATACAGGTAATTCATCTATTTTTTAAAAAAAGAAGAACATTCTCATGTCGGTTATAATTTTTATGTTTGTTAACACATCACTCCCGTGTGTGTAGTCTTGGCATAGAATGAGCCACCTATTCCATTCTCGTGGGTGTCGTAAGAGGCTTTTCTCTAGGTCATGGATTCTAGGGGTTTTAAGCAGTATCCCTTTTAAAACATCACCAAAGCCTAACTGCGGTTGCCAACCTGCCTGCCAAGTGTAGCAGAGTTGGGGAAGGCCTATGTAGTAGACACTTAACGGCTGCTAGAATATGATACGATGATTCAGTAATTTTTTTTTACAACAACACAGGGGCAAACGAGCATGCGGTTCAGCCATTATCTGAACCTTGAAATCAGTTTACGGATGACTTTAGAATAAAACACTTTTAAAATGTAGCCTTTTATCATGACATCGATTTAAAAATGTTTAAAACATATCGAATTTGAAAATAGTCCATACTAATATTGTAAATTTGAAAGCAAGTTTGTTGTCTTTTTTTAACTCAGAGGACAAACAAGCATGCGGTTCACTTGATGGTAAGTGACTAGCTCCGCCCACGATCACCTGCAATACCAGAGGCATTGCAAGTGTGATGCCAGCCTTTCAAAAGGAATATGCTCTTTTCTTGAAGGTTACGTTGTCGTATCGGTTCGGAAATAGTGCAGCTGGAAGTTGATTCCAAAGAGTGGTTGTGCGTGAAAGAAAACGCCTTGAAACGTCTCTTAACACCTTAACAGCTTAACAAATCACATACATCTATGTGATTTTGTGTACGCTAACTATATGAGCTGGAGAGAGAGATAGGTAACTTTTTAACCCGGCTAGTTTTTATCCTGGTCACACAGACAATGTTGCGGATTAAAGCTAGTCATTATATAAGGTAATCATTTAAATGAGGAGGAAATTTTGTAATATATCAGAACAGCTACGACGAAGCTTCGCAGATAGCGATAATAGAATCTTGTCAATGTGTTACGTGCTTCTGGATGATATTTCTCTGACACTTACCTCTATTATTGAGAACGTGCTTTCAGAGGGAGGTGGTGGTACTGCTTCAAGAAACTCAGCCCAAAAGTCTTTCCTAAACAAGAAGAACACAAACTTGTACCTTTTTATTTATAAAAACTAAAACCTTATTACAAGTCTATTTTAACTATTACACTGTTTTGCTACTTTCTTTCAAATTAGGAATTTAGCCGTAAAGAAAGAGACGAAACAGTTCAATTGCTAAGATTGGTTTATAAGAAGTTTGGCGTGTTTATGAATAAGTCTTTAGAATCGTTAATCTATTTTTTTTTATACACCTTAGAATGGCAAACAAGCTGACGGCCCACCTGATGGAAAGTGGTAACTGTCGCCTATAGACACGAACTGTACCATGGACATAACAGAGAATACTGTTTCGCCCATGATAACCCCCATGCGTTGCCATTCCTGAGGACTCAGGTGTTATTCCTCTCTAGCCAGTAAATTCACGCCATATCCCACCCTTCAAAGCGAAACACAGCCATGCAAACACAACTGCTTCACGGTTGAAACACGAATGGGACAGAGGTACCCAAGCAATCGACTTTTGTACAAAGTCTCCCTCTGGAATGATTATGATTGAGACGGGAATCAGACAGGTCATTTAGATAAACTATGATAACTTGCTTGGGTTATCTCGACGTTTTGACCAGGTTCAACCGGCCGTCGTCACGACTAGATTGATGTAGTGCTATCGTGCTGCTTCCGAGGCAGAAGTCATCGATTGATGACTTATAAATTATCATAGTCTGTCTAAATGATCATTATAAATGCCCTTTTTTCTGATCTTGTTAGTGTCTATGGCAGCAATAATCACTTACATAATAAAAAAACAAATAAATCACCAGAGGGAGACTTTGTACAAAAGTCGTTTGCTTGGGCACCTCTGTTCCATTCGTGTTTTTACCGTGAAGCAGTCGTGTTTGCATGGGTTGGTTTCGGTTTGTGTGTGTGGGACATGGCAGTGAATTTACAGGGTACAGAGGAATAATACCTGAGTCCTCAGGAATGGCAATACATGGGGGGTATCATGGGCCAAAGAGTATACTCTGTTATATCCATGATATCATGTCTATAGGTGACGGTTACCACTTACCATCAGCTGGGCCGTCAGCTTGTTTGCCATTCTAAGTTGTATAACAAAAAAAATACAAAATTACCTTATTTGAGCTCCTCTCTGATTTCTTCCCGGTTCTTTTGCATCCCAGGCTCTCCTTGCTGCAGCAAACTCCAGGTCCCTCACATCGTCCCGCTTGCAGTATGCACCACCGTTAACGGCGAAGGAACATTCCATTTCAGTATAAGCATCACCAGGTTGTGGTTGATATATTGGTGCAGGCAGATGCTTATCTTTCTCCTTGTCTTTCGCGGAACCAGGCTGTAATTTCAGATTTAATGATTTTTTTAATTGATACGTGTCACTGAATCAATACTATGTATGTAAGTGTGTATATGTGTATATATATATTCTTATTTATGTAGGTTTATATTCATATGTATGGTATGTATTAATATTGTATCTTTCAAATATATATATATATATATATATATATATATATATATATAATGATTTATTATTTATGTAAATATTTATTTTAATTTTTGTGTTGCACTACTACTGCCCACTCACTTGCTATGCCACTGTGTTAGGTTGACTGGAAGAGATCTCTTTTAGAGATAAGTTCGCCTTTGTAACATTGTTATTAATTTATTGTTGTTACTGTATGTTTTAGTGCAATAAATAATATATATATATATATATATATATATATATATATACAAGAAAAAAATTGCCTGATGGTAAAAATATGAGATAAAAATAGCCATTTAGATAACTATTGTACAGACATAATATTTTATTGGCATTATAAACAATTAACCTTATCTTTCACTGTCTTTTTGATAGGCGTTTCTAATTTACATATTTCGGGCGCATCGCGAACTTCGCCTACTCTTTTCCATTGGGCAAGCGTGAGAGGCCAACCGTTCGTAGCAATCACTCTGTGGAAAATTAAAGTGCATAATGTAATTATCTTGTGTTTTTTTTAATTTTATTTTATATTACCTTATCTATAACAATAATTTGATGTGTGAAGAGCTTACTTTTAGAACGCATATTGTCGAACTGTGCACTCAAGCATTCAGAACTCTCGGATTTGTATTGCGACAAGCGCAACAATTGGATTGCATACAAGCTGTTAAATTGCTATATAATGCTTTTGTTCGTAGTAAATTAGAAAATAACGCAATTATTTGGAACCCACATGAATCTAAATATATACTTATGGTGGAAAAAACCCAAAAGAAATTTGTAAGATGGCTGTACCAAAAACAGTATGGTTTCAAGGTATCCCCATATATACCCGAGTATGTTTTTGTTGGGTATGGTGGGCTATAATACACTTGAAGTGAGACGAAAACTAAATTTAATTAAGTATGTGTTAAAATTAGTGCGGGGGGAAAAATGTAACCAAATTGTACTGGAATCAATATCAATAGGAGCGGCCAGTAACTACGTGCGAGCACGCCGACGACACTTATTCGATGTTCCATTACGAAGAACAGAGTCCGCTAAGCAGGCTCCCCTATCTCTTGCATTGAAACTACTCAATGATATTTTGAGCCAGTATCCGCAATTGGATGTATTTGCCTCCAACTTGCTGGAGTTTCGTCGAGTGACCACAGAGTATTTGTGTTCAGACGTTTTTTGTTTCAGTTAAATCTTTTTATATTATTTTTTGTTTAATATTTTTGTGTAATATTCCTTTTATAAGTTATTATACTCATGTTTTCCTGGGTGAGCGTATTGGAAGACTGTAAGGCTCACCCAGTGGATGTAATAAATAAATAAACATTATGATGGATCATCATCATCATAATTTCAGCCATTATCCGTCCACTGTTGGACATAGAAAAAGAAAAGATTGATGAATGTGGAGGAAGCGAAAGAGGTTTGTTTGAATCGAAGCATTTGGCGTTCCATTGTTTCTGCCTACCCTAATGGGAGACAAGCGTGACAGATATGTATGTATGTATGTATGCTGGACATAGGCCTCCCCCATAGACAGCCCTAAGAAACGGTCCTGAGCCACCTACATCCATTGACTCCCTTCAATGTATTTGAGGTCGTCACTCCATCTAGTGGAGGGTCGTCCTACACTGCGTATTCCCGTGCGGGGTCGTCGCTCAAAAACCTTTCTTCTTATAGTGAACTAGCGACCCGTCTCGGCTTCGTACGGTGCAATGCTGATACTAAATATACCTACCTACTACAGAATGTTCTTATAAACAACGTTTACAGCTTTTTTGACATTAGACAATACAAACAAGGTAAAGTGCTATAAAACGAAGCGTGGCCTTAGACGCTTCAAAATCCGTGTAGTTTTAAAGATTTAAGCATACATAGGGACGGACAGACAGCGACTTTGTTTTATACTATGTAGTGTTATTACATAATTATTATATCGTACATTATTATAAGGTACGATTTAAGTTTTTCGAAGATTGTGACTGACAAACCTTACATTAACCCAATAGTTGAACTCTGACCCATTCGTGTTTCAACCGTGAAGCAGTTGTGTTTACATGGCTGTGTTTCGGTTTGAAGGGTGGGATATGGCAGGGAATTTACAGGATACAGAGGAATGTCACCTGATTACTCAGGAATGGCAACGCATACATTTTATTTTTGAAAAAGGGAAAATCATCCAAAGCAGCTGTGGTAGTGACACTAGTCAGTAACTACAGTGGCTCAGGAGGTCGCAGTGCATACCCGTGTGCCTTTAGAAGCGGTTAGATCATCAAAGGAAGACATTTCTGTCATATTTAATTAATAAATTATTAAGAAAATTTATTATAATGCGATAAAAAAACTTACTCAATAAAATATTCCTTCGGTTCTGAAGGAGCCGTTTTTATCTAAAATTATAATTTAATAATTAAAATTATTATAATAGTTTGAGAAAAATTAAGAGACTTATATTTTTAGTAACATCACCTTAGTATTTGATCTATTCTTTCCACTTGCAGAAGCTTTTACTATTTTATTAGATTTTAGGGAACGGGCGCTTAATAAAGCCGAATCTCGATTAGCCTGAAATATCATAATTTATAATGTAATTACAATAAATAATATTAGTATTACAATTATTATAATGACTATTTTTTTTTTTTATTTATTTATTTTTACTATCCAAGATTAATCAAAGTAAATAGAAGGCGTTATCCAATAGACAATCTGACTATGGAGATGTTTTAAGAGGGACGTTGCTACCTTTTTTTTTTATACAACTTAGAATGGCAAACAAGCTGACGGCCCACCTGATGGAAAGTGGTAACCGTCGCCTATAGACATGACCAGTACCATGGACATAACAATACTGTTTCGCCCATGATACCCCCATGCGTTGCCATTCCTGAGGACTCAGGTGTTATTCCTCTGTACCCAGTAAATTCACGCCATATCCCACGCTACAAACCGAAACACAGCCATGCGAACACAACTGCTTCACGGTTGAAACACGAATGGGACAGAGGTACCCAAGCAATCGACTTCTGTACAAAGTCTCCCTATCCATCGTCTTCCCTTAGTCTCCTCTTACGACACCTACGGAAATGAAGAGGCGGCCTACTCTATACCGGAAACCTATACACGGCCAATAATATTGTTTATATTTATTATTTCCTTTTTCTTGCATTATATATAAAAAAAAAAAAATTTAGAATAATTAAAGATCGTGTCCTACAAAAAAAAAACTTCATTTGAAAAAAAAAAAACTAAACTACTGAATCAATTTAGTAACCTGTAAATATATACTTTAGATAAAAACAGATTTTTTCAAATCGGTTTAGAACTGACGGAGTTGTAACAAGTAACAAACATAAAAAAAAAACAAAAAAATAACAGAATTGAATCCTCCTTTTTACAAAGTCGATAAATAAATAGAAAGTTAGGTATTTTATATATTCGTTTTAAATAATAATTAAACAATAAAACAAGAGTATTCGAAGTTTATTATATGACCTATTTCGCTTTGTTTTACTCCAGTTGCTAAATTCCTCCGACTTGTACATTTCATAATAAAATATTAAATAACAATAAATATTTTTTATGCTTTTATTCCCTTTGTTGTAGGTGTTATAAAGTATATCCATTAATGTATAAACACACACAAAAAATAACTTTCTAAACTTCAGAACCTTCTATTTTTTTATGTCAATTAAAAATGTTTCAAAAATTAAGAAGTTATGAAATTAACCGAGCCTAAATTAGCGTAAGACGTAGAATGTCTTTTAACTGGCGTAGATGAAGGTGGTGTTGGATCCAGACTTATGAATGGCCAATAGAGTTCACCCTTCCCTGAACACCTGCCCAACTCCTCAACGATACCATCAGATTTGGTGCGAAGTATAGCTTCTATTTCTAGCTGAAAAAATATAAATTATATTCAAATATAATTAAAATATAATATTAATTAAAATGAAAATTAAAATATATAATTAAATTAAAGTATTAATTTCGAATTAAAATTAAAATATAAAATTAAATAAAAAGAAAATTAAAATATCAATTAAAGTATTAATTATGAATTAATGGAACTTAATTATCGAGAAATGGGCAGTAACGTCTCTTTTAACAACACCACCAAAATCTAACGACAGTTGCCAACCAACTTGCGAAGCATGGCAACTACTGGCAACCCGCCCTCCCCATAAATTTTATAAATAAGGGAGATATTAATTCAATATTAAACACTAACATCAGGTGAAGTGGCAGCAGCTCTGAAACTAACAGCTTCATGCTTGGTCACAGATATTTGGATACCGCCAAGTATATTTCTTCTATTAGGAATGAACATTTCTTCAAAATGCAGCTTCTTAGCTGATGGCAGTGGAGTTTCTTTGCAGAAATCTATATCGTTGTCACAAACATGGAATGCCCCCTTGACGCTGCATAACACAGTTAAATGCCAATGCACGTCGTGATTGCAACCAATTGGTTGGTTCACTGTTCCATGTCCTGTTACTGTGTAGCTAAAAGTAGAATATTTATCGAATGAACATTTTATTAAATTAATAAATAAAAAATGAATAAATGAATGATAATAATTCGTCGGTTATATGAATTAATTAATTAATGAAATATCTAATTACATTTTAAATTTTTATATTTAAAATATTATATTTAAAATTTTCTTTTTTTCTTTCTTACCCGTGAGCATTAGGAAGGAAATCAAAAGTGATATGAGAGTTATAAGCTTGAGGCATTTGAACACCGGTGTCATTATTGTACACTGCCATAGTACAATGGTATTGGAAGGAGCTTTGAACATCGAAATGAACTTTAACAGCGCCATGGCAGAAGAAAACCCCTTGAAAGTAAGGTATCCACTTGCATTGTGGCGTCACTGGACAAGATCCATTATACTGATGTAATCCATATACTCCGCTTAATGCAGACGCAACAGAATATGCATTTTTGGTTCCAGGATATAAACCGAAAAATTCATTCATTAGGGCTGATAAAGATTCCAAATTTCCAAATGCATTGTCCATGACCTATAAAAATCCTTTGACTTTATTAATATCTGGCTAAATAATATTATTACTTTTATAAATTATATATATTATAAATATTTCTTTATTACTAACAGCTTTCATTACTTCAGGTGTAAATGTAACACGTGTATTTAAACATTTTCTAGCCCAAGTTCCTCTCCAATGTGCTTGTAATATAGTTGCAGCTTCATGTCGCCTAATTGCCTTTTCTCTTTTATCTTTCAATATACCACATGATACTTCTTTAGTAGCTAGCTCACAAACTTGAGAAGTTATGGGAACTACTGGTGCTCTGAGTAGTTTTACCATTGTTTCTGCATCAACTATAGGTTTTTCTTCTAACACCTTGTCATTTAAAAGAAAAATATCCATATATATTATTCACTTATATTATTTTATCAGATTTACATTTTGAAAACCATAAGTTCTAGTACCCCACAATTCAATAAAATTTTAATTATGATATATTTATTTATTACTATTTATATCCCGCGACTTTGTCCAAGTTAATTAAGATGAATAATGTATTATGTGTTATATATCTCTGATATTTGTGATACAAATTTCATTCGTTTCCACCCACTCATTTTAGTATGATTGAATAACAATTACCAGAAATAGATAGATACTCTTTATTGTTTCCTCCAAAAAGATTACAAATAGATATTAAATTTATTATAAATATAAACAATTACAAGAAATAACCACAATGATAAAACAATGGGCGACCTTATCGCTGAAAACGATCTCTTTCAGGCAACCTTTGGATGGAGAGGAGTAATTATAAACAGTTTGATTGGAGGCACGATGAAATTCTATTATTTCTAAAATATAGAGATGTGATACATGTAATAATGTAAATATATATCCCTACTGATTATATATACTTATATACTACTATATATATATATATATATATATATATATATATATATATATATATATATATATATATATATATATATATATATATATATACTTTTTAAATGTTTATTTCTAAATATTCGTACAATATTTTACCTGTTCTTCTATCTGCTCATCTATTATTTCAATTTCTTCAGATTCAGGCATAATACAATCACAGGGATCAGCATCGACAATTTCTCTTAAAGATTTAGGTGGCGATGGCTTCTGTAGCATTCCAAATTCAGGATCATGAAAATAATGCCTCAGTACTGTACACACTGCACGAAAATCTGCATGTTGTAGCCTTTTCATTAGAAACGATTGAAGAGCTTGTCTGAACATCCAATGCAGGAATAATTTGTCGTAACCAACAACTTGTGGATCCCATATTAGATCTGGTTGATATGATCTAAAATGCACAATAAAATAAAAAAAAATAGCATTGATATATAAAGAATCATAGATACATAATTGCAACTTAAAAAGTGGCAATGAAAATAGAACATATTTAACCAAATTAGAGCTCTAACCATTCAGTAACAAATTACCTTTGGTTAAACGTATAAATTTTATAAAAATATAAAGTCTATACAAATCACTATTAAACTTGAATTTTGACATTTACCGTATCTATATGACTTCACTTGTGGATTGTTTTATAACTATTTATTTTTTGGACTTTATTCACATAAATTTATTTAATTTTTCTTAAATTATTTGACGAAATGAAATAACGGGCTAATGAAGTGATTATTGTCGCCAATAAATATGAACAACAAGTACTATGGATGACACAAAACACAAAGTTATATCTTTGTTCTTGATGAGCCTTCATGCTCAGCAATTTCACTGTCCTATTCATCCTTCAAACTGAAACATGACCATGCAAGCATAGCTGCTTAGAGCATCAACACGAATAAGACAGAGGTATTCAATTAAATAACTTTTGTGCTAATACTATAAATATTGCATTAAATATTACAAATAACTTACTTATAAAAGTCTTTGTTTGCATCAATAATATTTAAACTAGATTTATTAATACGAGCCCAGTTAGAGAAAGCTGTGGAAATGTTAAGTAGGTATCGGGATGCCCAAGAACATTCTCGTACTGCTGCGCACTGAATTATATCACGTGAACCAAGAAGCAAAGTGGATTCACTGAGCAACATTAAGTGCCAATTCATGCGGGAATGAACCCATATTCTAAAAAAATCATAGATATTTAGTTTTAAAATTTTAAGATATAAAAAATTATCCTTAAAATAAATATAAATGTATATAATTATAATATAAAAAATGCACTCATTACTGTAATTGCTTATGAAGTAAAAATGTAAAATAACATTCTTACGATATACTAGTAAACTTGATATGCCCATGTTTCCCCAAGGATATTAGAATTCAACGTAGAAGACAGCAAGTCTACCACCGTCACTCAAATAACTTTAATTAAATTTCTTAAAATATAAGGCTATAAACAGTTAATATTAGATATAATCGGTGTTTATTTATATAATTTCAATTCGAACCCAATTAATGAATTAAATTTAAATGAATTATAATTATTTATATTAAATTAATTAGTTATTGAAAATTAAAACTGAATAATATATTTAATTACAAGCAAAATTTAGAGAATGTTACGCATATTTTAAAATTATTCAACAACTTTTAGAGTTATTATTTTAAAATTAAAATAAGCTATAGTAATGTATGCAAATATATAGTCTTACCTACAGACATGTCTGCCCGGTGGAAATTTAATTTCCACAGAATCATAGCCCCGTGTCTGAATAAACGCTTTAGCCATTGGCACCTCGCAATCTTTGAACCATTCAAATCTCTCCAAAATCAAATACGCCGGTTCAATATGATCCACTATTGGCACACCTGAATTGAACAAAACTCTTGGATGGAGCATGTTAAGTGAAATTCTGAGGACATTCTCGTCAGGTCCGTCGATTTGTAGGTAAAGCGGTGCTGATTTTGGTGCTTGAATATCGAGAGATCTATTGGCAGTCCCTTTGGTAATTCGTATTGGGGGATTGCTCGCGGCAGATGTGAACTGGTACATGGAAGGATGATATAGTACGTTGATATTTTTTATTAGTTCCTTTATCTGAAAATAATGTAAATATATTTCTTTTTATATTTTAAAATAAGAAGGGTAAAAAATAAATGAAGTCTTTTTATTAAAATATAACTCATAGTTTATTAAATAATAAAAAAAAAAATCTTCCTCAAGGATTATTGTTTATATAAATCAATCAATTTAATAACAATAATTTGAGCCGTTTATTGTCCACTGCTGAATAAGGGAAGTTTTGCTAGTAAGTTGCCACGCCTGTGGATTGGAAACTGCAGTTAGGATTTTAAAGATGTATTAAGGACATTGTTTCCTATCCCTCGAACATTAAGCTCCCTTAGTCGCCTCTTACGACACTCACGAGAAAGTACGGTATGTCCTATTCTATGCAACATGGATATTTTAATTATATTAAATATATCGAAACAGTATACTCTGTTATGTCCATGGTACTGATCATGTCTATAGGCGACGGTTACCACTTTCCATCAGGTGGCCCGTCAGCTTGTTTGCCATTCTAAGTTGTTTGTATAAAAAAAAAACTTAATTATTTAGACATTAGTAAAAATAAATATTATAAATGAGAATACATTAGTCATTGTAAAACTACCAAGGTATTCTAGTATTATGGTAGACGTATTTTTGACACGTAATAATTTATAAGTACATTTGTAAAAGTTGTTTAAAAATAGGTCAAGGTACAATCCAAACAGATAATCATTACATGCAATTTTTTTTTACATTTACACAGAGTTTTACAGAGAGTTACAAAAAATATATACAATTTATTTTAGGAACGTAACGGAATGCAATTATATGTGAATAGTAATTATATTTTTAACATATAAATGTAAATGAATTTAAATATTTGTAAAAGTCATGATTTCTATAACGCCATGAATAGTTTTAATTTGTTGCACCTAAAATGGCAAACGAGATAATGATCAATCTGATTATATATGCTACTTTCCACTCAAAGTTGGCTGGAAGAGAACTCTTATAGAGTTAAGCTTGATCTTCATTTAATTATTATAATGCAATCATTTCATAAATGAATATAATTTTTGTGTACAATAAAGTATAAAGATGAATAACTACATGAGACAGATAAAGGAAACACTAGGTGTCATGTCGTATAGGGAGATCAAGGATATGGCCTGGGATAGAGCTAGCTGGAATAAGATGCATGAATTAGTTGCACCGACAAGAGGAAACTCTTAAATGATAAAAAAAAGTATAAATAAAATTGACATTGTCTTGTTTGCCATTTTAAGTTAAATAAAAAAAAAGTAATAAATATAGTTACAAATAGGGAAAATTAACTTATTAACATAACCAAAGAATTCATTTAGGTATTAACTAACCAACTATATAATAACTTATATATACATGTATAACTAACTTGAGATAACTATTATAGCATAAGTCGATGTTTATAATAATTAAATGATTTAAATGTATTTATTATGACTAAATTATTATTAAAATTATTATTATCTAACCGAACTGTATTGCATCCATTCACGCATGTCATCCTTCACTTGCTGTGTCACAGAGATGCCAGTGTTAGATCGAATCACATCTTTTCCACCTCCTTTCTTTATCTGCAAAAAAAAATTAATAAATCTATGAATAAAGATTACTATTGTATCTAGTAGTAATGGTTACCCATAGCCACGAACAGCACCATGGAAATAATAGAGTATACTGTGAACCCGCTTGTGTACTCTCATAAATGCCAATTTATGACAATAAATATTGGCGTCAAAGTGCTAGTACATATATAAATTAGTATTTTAGTACTTCTGTGTTTCCTGTAATTTTCTCAATCCTATATCAAGGTGGAAAAAACCATACATACATACATATCTGTCACGCCTGTCTCCCATTAGAATAGGCAGAAACAATGGAACGCCAAATGCTTCGATTCAAACAAACCTCTTTCGCTTCTTTCACATTCATCAATCATTTCATACACGCTCGCCGGTTACGGGCACTTTTAATTTGGCCCTTCTACAGCACGTCGCCTATTTGGGCAACATGCGTCCGTCTAGGGCGGCCCCTACCGACATCTATTCATCCATTCATTCTTGCTCGATAAATCTCTTTCGTAATTCTTTTTTCATTTCGTTGAAAAATATAACAACCAAAAAGAGTTTAAAAGGAAGAACGTTTTTAATAAGGTTTTATTATTTTATATTTGTTACCTTATAACTCCGTCAATATATATATAATATAAGAAATTAAAAAAAAATTGTTATGATGCAATAAATAATACAATTTTTTTATAAATGCAAAAAACACACACACGAACAGTTTTCTACCGACTTCAAAAAGAATCAGGTTCTCAATTCTGCCTTTTCATTATGTTTGTTACCTCCTACCTCTGTCAATAGTAAATCGATTTGGAAAGGGGAGAAAGGAATTGCTAATAATATGGTTTAATAGCTCCATTGCTAGCAATATACTCTTTCAGGTCGACCTGAACGCGTTATCCCCTGTAAACAATCATGGTTAATTCTTGTCGAATTCATTATGGTGGGCTAACTGATTTACATTCATTATCACCTATCATCTTCCACTGGTGCCTCGTCGGTGTATACCGATAGCGCGGGCGGGGTCACCATTCCATTTTTACCCTTTAAAAAAAAATTATTTGAATGGACTTATTTACAGGTCTCATGGAAATATTATGACAGTTTAGTTTCTAAATCAAAACAACAGAATTTGTCACGATTGAAGTCAAAAATGTTTGTGGGACCTTTAACTATGTTTATTTCCTGTTTCCTGTTTATTTCTTCTAGATAATTCTAAAACGAAAATACTAAAAATAAATACTAACCGGTGTATTTCTGCCATGTTCTTCTCGAAAACAGTATGTAATCTGAAAATAGGGGGAAAAGGATTGTTAGTAATGGAGACTGAGAATCCTATTGCTAGCAATATACCCAACCAGGTCGACCTCCTCGCGGTTCCCCCTGGAAACTATCATGGTTAATTCCTGATGAATTCATCATGATGGGCTAACTGGCTTGATTTCATTCTCATCTATCACCCTTCACTGGTGCTCCGCCAGCGTGTCCCGTTAGCGCAGGCGGAGTTACCATACCATTATCATCGTTAAAAAGAAAAAAAATCTTAAAATTAGAAAAATTCAAATCAACTTATAAAATAAGTAAGTAATATGTCACGACTATAATCTCTATGGCCATGTGATCCCGGCATAGAATACGCCACCCCTTTCTTTCGCGTGGATGTCGTAAGAGGCAACTAAGGGAGGGCTAGGTATGGACAGCAGCGTCCCTCTTAAAACATCTCTAAGCCTAACTGCAGTTGCTAATTCGTCTACCAAGTGTGGTAACTACTGGCAAAACCCCTCCATTAGGAAGGCTTATGTCCAGCAGTGGACCGTTAAGGGCTGATATGATCATGATGATTAATAAAAAGATTTAATTTTAAGATTTAATTTGAAATTTATCATTTTTTGCGTATAACTTAGAATGGTATACAAGCTGACGGCCCAGCTTATGGAAATTGGTAACGGTCGCCTATAAACATGAACAGTACCATGGAGATAACAGAGTACCTATACTACGTCGTCATAGTAGGTGAATATCTAGGTGAGTCGTGCACAATCATTTTACAGTACAATTCGTAAATGGCAATTTATTAGTTAAAAATACTAGTTAAATAAAAAACTTACTTGCTAACTTATTGAAAATCACAAAACAGTCTATATCTGATTTGGCAAGAGTGCAGTAACAACGTAGAGCTTAAATCAATGGCCGGAAACAGTTGGCATATTTTTATAGTACTAGTCTAAAGAACCGAGAACATTATGCCAACAAAAATTATGACAGAGTAGAAGAATCTATTAGTAATTGATTTCAAGTGGAAGTACTCCAACTGAAAGTCTTTCTAATGCAGGCCAATCGCTTGCACTTTTTATGCTTATGTCACACGACACAGGATATCTTAATAAATTATGAATCGATTTTTAAAATCTCTTTGTAAAATCTACAGCATTTGTTTTATTTTATTTATTTTAACTTCTGTTTAGCACTACTACAGCCCACTCACTTCCTATGCCACTGTGTTAGGTTGACTGGAAGAAATCCCTTTTAGATATATATATATATATATATATATATATATATATATATGTTAGTCCATGTTAATATTATTATGGAATATTGGAATAAAGAGCTCTTTTTTTGTAACATTAAACTATCTGTTACGAAGCAAAACTTATTTCTTACTTAATTTACGAAAGGGGAAAGTGTTTATCAGTAATGGATTTTTACTGCCCTATTGCTAACAAGCTAACAATAGGGCATAACTATCAGGTCAATCTCCACATGGTTTCCTATGGAAACCGTCATGGTTAATTCTTGTCGAATTCTTCACGATCGGCCAACTGACCTGCCTCCTTCTTCACTTTTCATCCCCCACTGTTGTCTCACCAGCATAAACTAATAGCGCAGGTGGGGTTAAGATTAAATTTTCACCCATTAAAAAAAATGTTATACGATTTCATGTTCTACATTTAAATAATTTTAATTTTTTTTATACAACTTAGAATGGCAAACAAGCTGACGGTCCACTTGATGGAAAGTGGTAACCGTCGCCTATAGACATGAACAGTATCATGGACATAACACAGAATACAGTTTCGACCACGATACTCCCCATGCATTGCCATTGCTGAAAACTAAGGTATTATTCCTCTGTACCCTGTAAATTCACTGTTATATCCCACTCTTCAAACCGAAACACAGCCATGCAAACACGACTGCTTCACGGTTGAAACACGAATGGGGCAGAGGTACCCAAGCAATCGACTTTTGTACAAAGTCTCCCTCTGGTAAAAATCCTAACTTAATAATTTATATATTGATTTACGAGGGCGGAGCCGCGATATATAGCTAGTCTAATCTAATGGTGTCCAGTTCAATCATCGCATATTTGTATTCATCAATGATCTAGGTGTTTTCTATACTCATTAGACAATAATGAGTAATTACTATGTAGGTGACAAATTAGTAAACATGACCGTTTGCATGTATATAGACAGAGAAGGGAAATTCTGTGTATTTATATCACGTTTACACTGATTAATGCATTATTCTTTCGACAATTAGGTACTAAACACATGTAAATACGATTTAGTTGTAGTACCATGAATTTTCTTTTCTAGATCTCTTAGTTGTGTGCTATTTATTTAGTTATTTCATTTGAAACTAAATAAAAAGCTCGCAGTATACCACGTATAATATTTCTAGTAAAGTTTCATTCATCTTGCATATACAAATAACTTACATAAACTTAGATAACTGAGAAATAAACCTAATTCCTATTATGGGATTAGCTCCCTTCCCTGTTGAGGTTTACCCAAGAGACTACAGCATGGAGTTCTTCAAAAAAGTTGTAAAGAAGTTTCTACTAGGTTCGCAATGTGCGCGTAACGCCCCTGCTATTGCAAGTGTTCATATGATGTGGTCACTGCTTTTGGTTAGGCGGATCATATGTCTGTTTATCACTTCAGTGATATAAAAAATGACTTTTAGTATATAATAAGCACATAGATAATCATAGATTTTCATATCACAGATGGTACATAACTTACTCATACTTGAATTATACAGAGATTGAAAACAAGTGATTGAATCAAGTTGACTTACCTCAACTTATCTGGGCGCAGGTCTCTTCCCATAATATATCATCATCATCATCACATCAGCCTTTAACTGTCCACTGTTGAACATAATCCTCCTCTTATTGGGAATTTTGTCAGTAATTACCACGCATGGTACGTGAATTAGCAGTCGCAGTTAGGCTTTGGTGATGTTTAAAGAGAAATGCTGCTGTCCACCTCTGGACTTTGAAATTAGCTTAGTCGCCACTTACGACACCCATGGAAAAGGAAGGGGTGGCCCAGTCTATGTCGGAGCGACACGGCGCTTTCACTAGTATACAATGCTTAAACAATAAACTTACAGACTCAGTGCTCTGTACATCAAGCAGATGAGGAGCATAGGAGGACTTCAGAAGACTACTGACTTTGAGGAACCTCGTGCGGGGACAGTCGTAAGCTTCGTAGAGACCGTGGCGGCGAGCCCAGTCAATCCATCGGTAGTGCTTCCACAGTGCTACTTCTAGATTTCAAAAAATTCAGTCAAAATTAATTTATCTATGGGATTACCAGACGGAGACTTTGTACAAAAGTCGATTGCTTGGGTATCCCTGTCCCATTTGTGTTTCAACCATGAAGCAGTTGTGTTTGCATGGCTGTGAATTTACTGGGTACAGAGGAATAACACCTGAGTCCTGAGGAATGGTAACGCATGGGAGTATTATGGGCGAAACAGTATACTCTGTTATGTCCATGGTACTGCTCATGTCTATAGGCGACGGTTACCACTTACCATCAGGTGGGCCGTCAGCTTGTTTGCCATTCTAAGTTGTAATTAAAAAAAAAATTATAAAATCTATGAATCAAGACATATAGAATTTCAAAAAATAAATATATATATATAAAACAGGTAATTCTGTTCCGATCGCATTTATTAATTGCAGTGAAATTAAATGGAGACATAAAACTTTAGACTTTAGTTTAGACAGCGCATAAGGGTTACCACAGGCATAACAGTATTTTCCTTGGTGGCTCTGGTGATTTATCTTTATAGGCTACTAACTATATACCGCAGCTTTGCCCGCGTAATTCAGTACATAAAATATTCTATATGCTATATTAGGATATAATCTACCCGTGTATCAATTTTCATTCAAATGTGATGAGTAGTTTTCGAGTAAAAATGTAACAAGCACCTATCCCATCCATCTATCCATTCATCCATCCTTAGAAACTTTAATAATAATATCATAGGTACCACTTCTATCAGGCAGGCCATCTCTTCAATCTATCTATCTTTACACGAAATTCCTTGGGGGGTAGGCAGAGAGAACAATTTTTTTTTTATACAACTTAGAATGGCAAACAAGCTGACGGCCCACCTGATGGAAAGTGGTAACCGTCGCCTATAGACATGAACAGTACCATGGACATAACAGAGTATACTGTTTCGCCCATGATACCCTCCATGCGTTGCCATTCCTGAGGACTCAGGTGTTATTCCTCTGTACCCAGTAAATTCACGCCATATCCCATCCTTCAAACCGAAACACAGCCATGCAAACACAACTGCTTCACGGTTAAAACACGAATAGGACAGAGGTACCCAAGCAATCGACTTTTGTACAAAGTCTCCTTTTTGTCAAAAGCCTCTCTACTTACACTCATCTTTCAGAAATTACACTTTCAAACTCTTCAACTTGTAAAAAAAACTTTCTTGATACTGTTTAAAACTCAAACTTTAAAAACATGTCCGACCGGGTTCAGGCAGTGGTTTCTTCAAGGGTACATCTCGAGCCATGGTGATAAGCAGGTCCATCTCGTGACCAGGAGTTATACCAGGCAAAGAATATGGAGGTTGATTCTTGGAGTCTTCTATCACAATAGTTGTTATTGATCCTCGCTGAAAGATTATGTATTTTTTTGTTAGCACGAATGGGCAAAATTTACTTAGATGATAAATGATCGTCATCTATACTTATAATAAATCTGTAGAGGTCAATTCTGTACATGAAATATATTTCCAAAATAACTATCAGGGGGTGATTAGAGATCGATACTGATGCCAAAAATGCAATCAGTAAAATTTTTGTCTGTCTGTCTGTATGTTCGTTATAGAAACAAAAACTACTCGACTGATTTTAACGAAACTTGGTACAATTATTCTTCACACTCCTGGGCAGGCTGGGCATTTTTCATCACGCTACAATCAATAGGAGCAAAGCAGTGAAGGGAAATGTTGGGAAAACGGGAGAAGTTACCCCATTTTTAAACTTCCTTCGCGTGTGCAGCCTTAATGGCCACTTTTTAAAATGTAAAAATGTACACCCGTGCGACGCCGGGACGGGCCGCTAGTTTATAAATAAAACCATGAATATCATAGGGCATATTTTTTTTCAAGAATTATAATAGAATGGTAACCAAGCCTACGCTATTGATAATACTGGCGAGACTGAGGTTTAATAGTCCAATTGCTAGGCAACCCTATCGGGTCGATCTCCACGTGGTTCCATCTGGAAACCATCGTGGTTAATTCTAGATGGTTTTGTCATGATGGGCTAACTGATTTGTTTTCATTCTCACCTATCATCTCTCACTAGTGCCCTGTCAGCGTATACCGATAGCGCCGGTATAGTCACCATTCAATACTCAGCCATTTAAAAAAAAGACTGTATCAGGTCGACCTTCACGCGGTTCTCTCTGAACACCATCGCAGTTAAATATTGTTCAATTCATCACGATGGAGCAACTGACCTGCTTTCTTCCTCATCACTCATTGGTGCCCCGCCAGCGTATACCGATACCGCAATCGGGGTTCCCATTCCATTGTCATCCATTACAAAACAACGACATACCCTAACGACGGCGGTCTCTTTGTTGATGGGTTTCTTTGTATTCCTGGACTTGACAGTACTAGTCAAGGTGTCGTCGTCATCGTCCCACGAGAATAGTGGCACTTCTTTGCATATCAGATTCCAGAGTTCTTCCGCATCTATTATATACATTTAATTAAAGATTTTGAACACAATTTTTTAACCGACTTAAAAAAAGAGGTTTCTAATTTGGTTGCATTTTTCTATGTTTGTATTTGTTATCGCAACAGTTGTAAATCGATTTGGAAAATTCTATTTTTATCTGAAAGAATATACTTATAAATTGATCCAATAGAAATTTTATTAAAATTGGTTTAATATTTTAATTTTTAAATCAAAATAACTGGTTTTGACACAATTGAAGTCGGTATTTTTTGTGGAACACAATCTTATTTATACTAACTATGGAGGCAAACAAGTATACGTCCCGTCTTAAGGTAAACGCGGTTACCGTAGCTTAACGTCTGTAATGGCAGGGATATTATTTATGTTATATCTGTCGTGAAAATATTATTATTATTACATTTAAATAACACTTTCGATAAAAAAAGAATAATTAAAATCGGTTAACAATACGCAAAGATAAACATATATGTATATATATGTATTTGTGTGGTATATGTATATTATAGGTTAGTATTAATAAAAATTTTAATAAATATAGATATATACAATAAATAAATATTATTAAGACCGTTATCGCTATAATAATATTAACTTGCTCCAGTATTCCTTAATCTTACGCATAAACTTTAACCATCGCCTACCTACCGCTGTCAAAACATTTCTATCCTTACAAGCTAATCACAATATTACCAGTAATGTGATACATCATATTCATGGATCCAGTCAGACAGTGCATGATGTTGAATTCTTCGAATGCCTCATCCTCTAAACAGTCGACGTCTTCATCGGAATTCATGTCGGGGGCAGCCACCTTGAGAAGCGCCTGTAGAATGTTCATTAGCAATTACGCAGTCCCGCCGTTTGCATTATTTATTATAACTTATATTTTAATACGATGTCTATATACATATACAAAGAGAATTTAATATCGTTTCTGACAATTGTTGTTAAGAAGAAATACTGGTAGTAAGATTAGACAGCCCTTTTGCTAGCAATCAAGTCGACCTCCACGCGGTTTGTCTTGGAAACTACGGTGGTAAATTTTTGTTGAATCGAATTAATTTATAAATTAATTTCTATAAGAGTAACTTGTAATATTATAGGTAACATGGTAGGTCCTCAGGAATGGCAACACATGGAAGGTGTCATGGGCGAAACAGTATACTCTGTTATGTCCATGGTACTGCTCATGTCTATAGGCGACGGTTACACTTTCCATCAGGTGGGCCGTCAACTTGTTTGACATTCTAAGTTGTATAAAAAAAGGTCTTTTACAACGACCCAATCGGAATTGATGAGTCAAATACACGTTAATTCGTCAGACACGTCGGTTCCGAAGACTCGATTCCTGTAGCAGTTAGTAGACGGTCTATCTGGTCATTATCTTTAGAATATTCTAACTCTCTCTGATCCTTCTATGAGTCTCTCTACTTTTGTATTTCAAAGCCATTAAAATGTGTTAATTGTCTAGGCGTAATATCATATCTCATTTGTCTAAACTTAGAACAGCGACTTTGATATTTATTTTTGAATGGCAAATATCTTCAGAAGTGTTATTTACAAAGATATCGTATTTTGTTTTTGTAATTCCTTAATTTTATAGTAACATAAACATTATAAAGGGAATTAGAGTCTAATTGTTGTTTATTGTGAAATAAATTGAAGATTTTCTTCTCGTTACGACGGGGCTTTATATAAAATTGAGTTTCGCAGCCGTTCAGAATACTAAAACAACGTAACTCATACCTCATCAATAACTATGAGAAAAGTTAAATATATATGTTATTGGGTATTTATTTTATTTATTTACACCATTTATTTACACTTTATTGCGCCATTTATAAAAATGATACAGTTAATTTTAATGAGAAATGATATAAAAGGCGGCGTTATTGATAAGCAATCTCTTGCAGACAACCTTTGGATAAAGGGCAATGAGAAAAAGATAAAGGGTAGGTAGTGCTGTTTTATATAGATATTAATATATGCAAACACACAAACACACGCACGCACGCACGCACGCACGCACGCACGCACTCACACACATTATATATAATACTTAATGGTACACAAATAATAGGAGAGAATGAAAGAGGAAGATAATGAGAGAATACAGAAAAATAGTATTTTTTTTATACGACATAGAATGGCAAACAAGCTAACGGTCCACGTGTTGGAAAGTGGTAACCGTCGCCTATAGACATGAGCAGTACCATGGACATAACAGAGTATACTGTTTCGCCCATAATACCCCCCCATGCGTTGCTATTCCTAAATTCACGCCATATCCCACCCTTCAAACCGAAACACAGCCATGCAAACACAGCTGCTTCACGATTGAAACACGAATGGGACAGAGGTACTCAAGCAATCGACTTTTGTACAAAGTCTCCCTCTGGTAAATTTAAATGGTTAAGTCTTACTATCTCTAGTAGGACTTCACAGAGGTTTTGAAGTTAGCGAGAGATTGTGAACACATAGACGCAAATAGAAGAAGGTAGTGAGTTCCACAGGCGAACTACCTGTAGTACATATTAAAAGTATTATATATTCTATAAGCAATTAATAAAAAATCATTGTTTAGATAATATAGACAGAAACTTCATAAATCAACATACCTTACAAAGTAGCAACGGCCACATGTGTACCACAGACGATGTGACGGTAATTGGAGCTTGCTTCAACCTGGGCTTGGCTGCAGGAGTGCGGTTTATAAGCGGAGAGAATGGGAGTAATGGTGCACCAGTTGCATCTATTGGAACCTGATCACTGACCCAAATACACCGCCAAACGCCAAGATAGAATAGGCGGACGAGATAGCAACCTGAGAGAAATGTGTATGCTTTATTCTATACTTTGCCTTCCTTATCTTAAAAACTGATTAATGTCTTTAAGTAAAGAAATATACCAGTGGGCTACTCCACTGTTAACACACCAGATGTTTCCCAACCTTTTTTGTTCCATGCCCCACTTGAACATTTCTAAAATTTGTATGCTCCCATACATAATTTTTCCCGACAATGTTTACTTGACGACTCTAATCGCCCAGTTAATATTTTGGTAACGTCAAATGAAATCATACCTAATAAATATTTACAGCATTTTTTTAATTTAGTTTTTTTGTTAAATTTGGTACCGATATCTACCTGTTGCATTTAGATGGCTCCGAGCAAGAGCGTTAAAAACGCTTCGAGTCCATTTTTAATTGCTCTCCCTTAACTATCAAACTGCCCCCCTGTGGGGCGTGGGCCCCACGTTGGGAAACAACGCACTAGAGGGTGGAGATTGTTAGTAATAGTACTCAGTAGCCTTATTGCTAGCAGCATTAGATTCACCTTCATGAAGCTAGGCCTTCCTAGGAACCATCGTAGTTAATTCATGGAAAATTGATCATGATAGGTCAAAGGCCTGGATATTATCGTCACCTATTATCCCACCAGCGTAAACCTATACACCGCAAATCTGTAGCTTAGTGTAGGCGGTGTTACCATTCCATTTTCTTTCTAAAAATTGGCCTCAAGAATAACGTAGCGAGGAAAGCAAAGCATGGAGATACAAATAAGGAGGCGAGAAGAGTATTAACCATTTTTAGAGAGCCCAGGTCTATGCTGCGTTCCACCACCTGGTTTAGTACCTGGCGAATAGATATGGTACTTAGCTCTCCAACCTTCTGGTCCGATGCTGAAAACAAAGTTCTCCCATTGGTGTTCCACCTGAAATCAATGTAAACCTCTCTAAGTCTTCTTTCCTTTTTCTAATTCGAGTTGGAAACTTGAGTATCCTATTTCTTAATCAGAGGGAGATTTTGTACAAAAGTCGATTGCTTGGGTACTTCTCTCCCATTCATGTTTCTACCGTGAAGCAATTGTGTTTGCATGGCTGTGTTTCGGTTTGAAGGGTGGGATATGGCGTAAATTTACAGGGTACAGAGAAATAACACCTGAGTCCTCAGGAATGGCAACGCATGGGGAGTATCATGAGCGAAACAGTACACTCTGTTATGTCCATGGTACTGCTCATGTGTATAGGCGATAGTTACCACTTTCCATCAGGTAGGCCGTCAGCTTGTTTGCCATTCTAAGTTATATAGAAAAAAAAATGTCTCTGACTTACCACCATACCATCTATTCTTTCTAAAATAAAACAGGCGGAAAGCATTCGTCTGCAAAATGAAGATCTTAGCAGTACTTGAGAGTGACTCAGTTGTGTGTCTGCAACTGACATCTTGCCTCCACCATTGTCCTGAAGAAAAAGTAAAATTGCAGTAATGAAGGTAGTTGTAAAATATTAGGAATTAAGTTATATTATATATAATAATTTATTCCACCTCTCTCTTTCGGTAGGCTACCCCTTTTTTCCATAGGTGTTTTTTTTTTGATGGGTGAAATGGAATGGTAACCCCGCCTGCGCTAACGGGTTACGCTGGCGGAGCACCAGTGAATGGTGATAGATGAGAATGAAAACAGGCCAGTTAGCCCATCATGATGAATTCATCAGGAATTAACCATGATAGTTTCCAAGGAGAACCTGGAGAACCGACCTGGTTGAGTATATTGCTAGCAATGGGATTCTCAGTCTCCATTACTAACAATCCCTTTCCCCCATTTCCATAGGTGTCGTATGAGGCTACTAAGGAAACTTAGTCAAGGGATGGGCAGCACCCATCTCTAGAGTATTGATTTCTTTTAGTACGTTCCTCTTAAAACATCACTAAGAGCTTAACCGCAGTTGACAAGTTTATAAGTTAACTTTATAATTAAGAGACCAATATAATTAAGTTTACTTGAATAAAAAATATTCTTAATTTTATTAATATAATTTTGTATATAGAGAGAGCATCATTGTAGCTTCTTCAGAATTGCTCACCAGAGAATTCATTCCGTAACCTATATTTTTAATTGGCAAACCTCAAACACCACAGCTTCAGCTTCCCATCTGCTCATTGCTAAATCTTCAGCTCGAACCCAACCATGGAGGTATCGCCGCACAGACCGGGGTAGCGGTTGCGTCTGCTCATCCACCCACACATGGTCTCCTGGTGATTTTGTTGAAGTCTTACTTAGCAGCATTGTGGCTCGGCAAGCAGCTGGACCCTAGTCAGTATAAACTTTAATTTAATTTTTTACTGTCAAGATGTTGTAATAAGACATATTGAAAATATAATTTATAATTTTTTTTTATTACCTAAATAATATTTTAAAAATAGTTACCTATTTATCAAGTACACTTACAATTGATAATTAATTAAAATGAAATTTGTAATTGTAATAATAATAATTATTATTTAAGAAAGATACAGTTGCATAAGGTACAATTTACAATTTTTACAATTTTATATTCAACGAGAAAATATCTGCATTACCATCAGTCCCCAAACTAGGCCAGACCTGTATCTTGGGGACTATAAAGAATTATATATAATTAGTTAATAAGTGTGATAGATTAAAAAAAAAAATGGATAATCACGATATGTTTTCATACAAAAATAATGAAGCTCGCTCAAGCTTTCTTTACTAATCCTGTCCTTGGTCAATTCTTTATATCGTTACTAGAACTGAACTTTCGTGAGATAGGACTGACAAAGTTTTGTACAAATAACTATTTGTAGAACCTTCGCTAATTATTTTTTATTTTTATGGAAATTTTGAGTAAGAACTTCTTAATGTTCAGACATAAGGAAAATCAAAATTCATGTTAGTAGATTTACAGTTTTAACTAGGTACAGAGGAATAACACCTGAGTCCTCAAAAATGGCAACGCATGGAGGGTATCACGGGCGAAACAGTATACTCTGTTATGTCCATGGTATTGCTCATGGCTATAGGCGACGGTTATCACTTTCCATCCGGTGAGTCGTCAGCTTGTTTGCCATTCTAAGTCGTATAAAAAAAAAAACAGTTTTAACTGTACGTTGTTCGGTCAATTATTTTGTTTTTATATAGATAGATACTATTTATTGTTTCCTCTAAAAGATTACAATAGTAAACTTATTATAGATATAAACAATTACAAGAAATGATCACAGTGAGAAAATAATGGGCGACCTTGTTGTTTGAAGCGATCTCTTCTAGACAAACTTTGGATGGAGTTTAAACAGTTTGATCCGAGCCATGATGAAAATTCTATCATTTTTAAGTTCATATGGAGAACATAAGCAAGAATCTGAATATATAAATATATATTTCTACTTATATAATAAGAGTATACTGTGTCGTTTACAATACACTTCATAGATTGTCATTCCTGAGGACTAAGGTGTTGAGTTTCCCTATAATTTCATTGCCATATCTGACCATTCAAACCGAAACACAGCCATGCAAACATAAACCCAAGCAAATACAATTATATAAGATTTCGATATTTTTCCACGTCTTACTTCGATGACAAAAACCTCCTTTTACAGCACTGTAATTAAAATATAAATTGATTCATTACAGTAAGCTCTTTCTGATCTAGAATGCGTTCAAATGATACGACTGTAATAATTCTTGTTAATCACAGTTACAAATGCATGAGGTTAATGTATTTTTCTTATCGCTATACCTTTAGCTTTTAATACATTTATAAAGAAACTGGGTCCGAGTATATAGTTTCTTTATAAACAGTGTTGCCATATTAGGTATTTTTTTCGCAATTTTCGGCAAAAAAAATTCTAATTGTAAAATTGTGGAGAACATTATTGGAAATATTTTTAGAAAAATGTCAAATGGGCTTGGAAAACTTTTGGTAATTTTTTTGAGTAATAGTTTTAGTATTTGTAAACTTTGTACAAGTATATAGGATATATAATTACAGTAAAATATATAACTGAAAAATATATGACATTAAGAAAACTTAACTTCGGTTGCCAACCCGCTTGTCAAGGGTGGCAACAACTGGCAAACACTATGTTCAGCAATAGACAGTAAACGAGTGATATGATATTTTTTTTTTTTCATTTTGTGGCACATGGCAAAACGTAGTAAAAAATAATACAACATTGTAATGAGGTAAAAATCCTAAAAATGATATCGATTGAAAGAAAAAATATTCTACTTTTGGGTAAAAATCTAATTTCGCATATGGCAACCCCGTTTATAAATAATTTAAAAAGCTTATGTAGTAGATACTTACAAGTCCCCAGAATTCAGGTTGGAGCTCGTTATCTCGAAACTCCCTGAAGGGACATTCCGTTGGATCTATCTCAAATACTAAAGCGCTTTTTGCTTGGTCTGCTTTTTTCGTCATTTTTACTTATTAATACATTAACAAAGGCGCTAATGTGACATGTTAACAAAGATCGTAATTAGACTTGACGTTTATTACATCAAGATGACATTATTTTTTCTTCATAAAACTCTAAACTTATTATCTAATTTATCCAATCTTTCAAAATTTTAACACTAAAACAATATAAAGGTTCTATATGTTTTAAGCCTATTTAATATTTAGAAATATTTTGTTTAATTCCGCTACCATTAGTATGCATGTGTTAGATATTTATTTTAAATTATATTAATTTTCTTAAACATCTTGTGTCAAAATGTGTAGCCTGCATTTATTAATAAAAATCAGACTAACTACTTTAAATATAATAAAACGTTAAAATAGTTATTATACCAAATTTGCTAATAAATTATTCTTGTAATGTATATAGAACACTAATTAATATTTTAATTAACTTTGTAATTATTTATTGTCATGATACTTGATTAAAAAGTAATGAAATTGTAAGAACACGTGATCTCGCTGACTTGTTCACTCAAATTCGGTCTATATATATATATATATATATATATATATATATATATATATATATATATATATATATATATCCAACCAGGTCGACCTCCTCGCGGGTCTCCCTGGAAACTATTATGGTTAATTCCTGATGAATTCATCATGATGGGCTAACTGGCCTGTTTCATTCTCATCTATCACCCTTCACTGATGCTCCGCCAGCGTATCCCGTTAGCGCAGGCGGGGATACCATACTATTTTCACCTATAAAAAAAAATCTATGCTGGGGCCACACGGCGAATAAGTTAATGTATTCTTAGTTAATTTTTGACGTAAACCATTAGTGAACCTACTGTACTAAATTTGTTATAATCATTAATGATTATGCAACATTACATGTAAGTATCCAATTATGCAATGTTTTTAAACACGATTTTCTACATCAGTTCATGTATGTAGACATACAAAATTAGCACTATGAACGACTTAATTTGATAATGGGAGATCTAGACAGGTTAAAGATTAAAGGTGCCAGAGTCAGTGTATGAATTGCTAAGAAAGTCTTTGATGAACTGCTTGCATTTAATTCCTTTATTATCAATCGACTTCAAAAACAAGGGGCTTACAATTCGATTGTATTTTTTATGTTTGTTATCTCTTAGCTTTGTTACTTCTAAACTGATTTGGAAAGTTTTTTTTTTTTTTTATCTGAAAGAATGTACTTACAGATTAGTTCTATAGGAATTGTATAAAAATAGGTTTAATAATTTAGGTTATTAAATAAATTTAAATTGTTTTAACATATTTGAAATCGGTTTTTTTTTGTGGAAGATAATCTTAATTATTATGTATGTTCTAACTTTAATCCTTAACACTGAGTTTTACTACTAACTAACCTGAGTCCTCCCACGGACACTCAGGTTGTGGAATGAGCTTCCTGCCGAGGTTTTCCCAAGAGACTACAGCATGGGGTTCTTCAAAAGGGAGGTAAAGAGGTTTCTTTAGGGTCGGCAACGTACGCGTAATACCTCTGGTATTGCAGGTGTTCATAGGCTACGGTAACCACTTACCATCAGGTGGGCTGTATGCTTGTTTGCCACCTCAGTGGTATAAAAAAAAATGTAGATCAAAAAGGTTCATATGAAATGAGATAAACCCAATTGGTCTTACTGACAAGTAGGTTCATATAAAAAGAGTTCGACCCGATCGGCCCAACTGTACCGACAAGTAGGTTCATATGGATAGGTGGGCCGTATGCTTGTTTGCCACCTCAGTGGTATAAAAAAAAGAATTAAAACTACAACATACACATTATATTAAATTTAAATTTTCCTTACATTTTTGTTTCAAAAATAGCAAATTATTGTTGTAATATTTATATCCAATTTTAAATAATTACAAAAGGAAACGTTCAGAATTTTGTATTTTTTTTTCTTACCAAATTGATGCCCTTTTATAATTGAATGTTGTAGTCGTAATTTTTAATACAGGTACCGTCATTTTATTTATTTATATTCACTGTATTATTATTCATATTATTTACATTTATCCTTCATCCCTTTTTTGCCAACTTCTTTTATTCGCTCCCAAAGTCCCTCTCCTTTTTCTTAGATCCTTTTTTTCATATTGTAGGTGGTAGATACCATAAACAAATGCATTTTGGAAAATTAATAAAGGAAAATTGACGTCAAGCAGACGGCCGGTCGTAAAAGTAAAAGTCAAAACGTTGGGTAATATGGATAAAAACATATTACGCCGACCCCAAAAAATTGGGATAAGGCCAGAATGATGACGATAATATTATTCATATTAAGCTATCAGATTACGTACACGATAAAAAAAATTGAACATTTCATTTGATTACTAATAACTATTTTTTTTTATACAACTTGAATGGTAAACAAGCTGACGGCCCACCTGATGGAAAGTGGTAGCCATCGCCTATAGACATGAGCAGTACCATGGACATAACAGAGTACACTGTTTTGTCCATGATACCTCCCATGCGTTGCCATTCCTGAGGACTCAGATGTTATTCCTTGGTACCCAGTAATTCACGCCATATCCCACCCTTCAAACCGAAACACAGCCATGCAAACACAACTGCTTCACGGTTTAAACACGAATGGGACAGAGGTACCCAAGCAATCGACTTTTGTACAAAGTTTCCCTCTGGCTATTAACAGAAATAAAATATATTTTTAATATTGACATCTTGTTTAATGCGTGTTCTCTCGACAAAAATCAAAGCAGGAATGAATAACAGCCGTGCTATTTGTTTCTACCCTCACAAAAAAATATAATTACAAAAGTAATGAAACCGATACATGGTTGGTACAATTGCTATACTTAAATTCATAATTACAACAATTGATATTTTAATAATCTGATAAATATTTACATGACAATATATTATTAATATTGTATAATAAAATATTATATTTATTGAAATAAAATACTAACATTTATTAATTGTATTATAACAAAATAAATAACAATCTATTTACAGTCTATTAATAGTGAATTAGCAAATAACAATATGTATTTGTATATAATATAGTCATATAGTCTAATACATATTTAAAATTGTTAGTTCAGTTAACAATTTTATCGAATTTAGATCATGGACGCTCCAATATGGTTATGACATAGCTAAATATATTATCTATTAAATAATCTACCTACCAGTTTATTCGGTAGTATGTAAAACAAGATGTCGGTGTAATAAAGAGTCTTAATATTTGTCTAGTAGGCGGAGGCGGTCGACATTTATTACAGGAAGTGTCCGAGTCAGTTACCGGTTCTCCGTGAAAGCCCGGGGCGTAATGCGTTTGAGAAACGCTGACTTGTAGATGGCTGTGGGTTCGGACCTTTAATCAATAATTAACAGAAAGGCTATCTGTGGTAACCCCAGTTAATATAGTTTTTTTTTTATCTTCTATATATATATATATATATATATATATATATATATATATATGTATGTATATATAAATGATAAAATGAATCGCCGTTCGTTATTCTCTCTAAAACTAAATTTTTAATTAATTTGTATAATTTTTTTTCGTCGGAAAACTTCTAAAGTTTAGTTAAAAAAATTAAAATAGGTAAAAAATAAAATTGTATGGAAATCGCTACTTCGAAATACTTTTAACAGATGGCGTTGTAAGTGATACGAAGTACTACGGGTGAGATAGTTTAAAAAAAAATCAAATTCTCTTCAAATAAATTCCAATAGATCGATATTGGGATTGAGACGTACGCTCGAATTGCAATACTATTTTTTTTTATACAACTTAGAATGGCAAACAAGCTGACGGCCCACCTGATGGAAAGTGGTAACCGTCGCCTATAGACATGAGCAGTACCATTGACATAACAGAGTATACTGTTTCGCCCATGATACCCCCCCCCCCCATACGTTGCCATTCCTGAGGACTTAGGTGTTATTCCTCTGTACCCTGTAAATTCACGCCAGCTACTAGCGACATATTGTTCTAATAGATTACATATTAGTGTAACTTGTCAATGGAAACTTACAAACCAATCTAGGATCTGCCGATTCCTGATAATGGATTAATGATTTGATCATCAAATGTAAATAGATTTTGTTTGTTTGAATGCGCTGTTTTTTTACTATTAGGAGGGTCCCGCGATTGATCAAAATCTCACCTAATGGAAAGGTGACGATGTGGTCTAAGACGAAGTTCGCGGGCCTGTGAACAGCCTATTCACATTTGCTTTAAACTGGTGCAGTTTATATTTGGATGGAAAAACATAAGCAGGGAGAGAGTTTCAAACCTTAAAAGGAAAACGCAAGGCGCTTTGTGCGTATAAATGTCGTATAATCTACGATACGACTACGATACGATACGATACGATACAATATATAGTAAGGGTGGAGGTTCTCGCGCCGTGTGGTCATCCGATTTATTAAAATAACTTTATTGACCAAAGGAAAATACGGTACAGAAGACGGACTTAATGCTAGTAGCATTCTCTACATTGTCGTGTTTGAAAAAATATTTATGCATTACAATATTATAATACGACTAAGCGTGAATTGTAAATACATTCAAAAATTGGCTAACCATTGTAGATACTCGATGCTCTATCTAGATACATATAATCTAGATCAGTTATAGCCAAAAATAGACACGGCATTTGCCTCAACTAATATAAAAAAAAAAAAAAACTAAATATTCACCAGAGGGAGACTTTGTACAAAAGTCGATTGCTTAGGTACTCTGTCTCATTTGTGTTTCAACCGTGAAGCAGTTATGTTTGCATGGCTGTTTCGGTTTGAAGGGTGGGATATGGCGTGAATTTACTGGGTACAGAGGAATAACACCTGAGTCCTCAGGAATGGCAACGCATGGGGGGTATCATGGGCGAAACAGTATACTCTGTTATGTGCATGGTACTGCTCATGTCTATAGGCGACGGTTACCACTTTCCATCAGGTGGGCCGTCAGCTTGTTTGCTATTCTAAGTAGTATAAAAGAATA